GACTTGCTATTGTTTCTCAACGGGAGAGGCTCTGAATCTCAGCTCTGTGGGGACCCCCAACCTCTCTCTTGCCTGTGGCATTTCAGGCTGAAGGATGTTTTCAGATTTGGCCCTCAACAAATACGTTAATGCTTTTCTTCAGAGACACTCAAAGCCAGAGGTCAATGCCTGAAGGAGATTTTGTGATAGGATGTACATTTTCATTCATAGTACAGCTGCTATGGAACAGATCTCCCAAGGCATTGAAATGCTTAAACTCATAAGAGTAGAAATTCTCCTTGTAAATTTGGCCCCTGGCTCTGAAGTTATTAAAGGTTTTGGGCTGCTGTGGCTGCCTTGGCACAAGACAACTCAAGCTCTGGTCTGAGCATTGCTAATGTTAATCCTGCCAAATATGTATCAAAAGATCCAAGCCAATTCTCATCCACAGGCAGCAGAGTTCAGTGTGAAGTCAGTGCAAGAGTTAAAAAGCAAGCAATACTTTTCACTGGCTTTAAATTCAATTTAAAATATGTGATATTTTATTTTCAAATGAGCTTCTGCTTTTCAAACCCCATGAGGAAAAGTAGTTTAAGGAGAACAAAAGAGTTGAAGAAAAACAATGGCATCTATCTGAGCTCAATCTAATAGCAATGGAGACAAATGTGTAATGAGGGCTTTACTCCTAAACATTTACCTATTACCTACTGAAAAAGTTACTGCATGGGATCATTAAATACGTATCACGGTGGCCAGTGAAGAATTCTTCTACTACTGCCCCTGCATTTGACATGCAAAAAGGAAGAGTCATCAAAAAGCCTTTTAAATATTCCACACAAAAGCTATTGGAACAGTTTTGCCATTAATTTCAATGAGTGCAAGTCAAAGTCTGAGCCCAGTTCGAGCTGCAGCCCCTTGCCTGCACATGGGTGGCTGTTTATTTCTGCCCTATTGTAGGAGGCAGGTGAGACCGGCAGGGAGCAAAGCAAGCCCTGGCAGCAGCCCTGCCAGACCCTGGGGTGACCCAAAGGAACACCCTGGCTCTGTTATGGGGAGTCACATATGCAGTCACAGTCAGCCCCAACAAGCCTGCTTAATTCACAGACAGGCAGGAATTAGAGCTCATGCCACACATGCAGCCAAACTCAGTGCTCCTGTAAGTAGGTGCAGAGCTGTTCTAGAAGATGGAGCTAAGCTGACTCATTCTCTTTGGGCTCTATGCCTCATAGCAAAGCTGAGCTAAACATTTATTATCTGTTCAATCCCACTGCAGCACTATGCTTGGGTACGTCCAGCTCACTGTATGCTATTTTTCTTCTCAGAGGTGATCCAGACAAATGTGACATCTGGGGGAACACACCTCTCCACCACGCTGCTTGCAATGGTCACATCCACTGTGTTTCTTTTTTGATCAACTTTGGTGCCAATATATTTGCTCTGGACAATGACCTCCGCACTCCCTTAGAGGTGGCTGCCAGCAGAGACCGAAATGAATGTGTCAGAATCCTGGATAAAGCTGCCACTGAGCAGAACATGCTGAACCCAAAGAAGGTCTCCAAACTCAAAGCACAGGCCCAGAGGAATGTGGAGAAACAAATCAAGGAATGCGAGAAGCGCCAAGAGAAACATCAGCATGAAATGAACCGGAATTATATGAAAGAAAAGGTTGGCACAGTAAATTCTTCCAGAGGGACACACTCCAGAGTAAAGTTGCCTAGTCTCTTTGTTTCAAATACAAGTCCTTTTTCCAAAAGTCTGAAAGATACCCTCAAACTGAAGGCAAAAAAGACAGCTGACAGCACAAGAAGCCAGAAAGCACAAAGCAATGACCAAGAGAATGGTACCGGTAGGAGAACTGTGATGCATTTGTTTGATGAGAAAGAGGAAGATGACCTCGGAGAGATAAACTTTTCTGATAATGACAGTCAGCTCTCCATTTTTAAGCGGCCAGGTCTTGGCAAGATTGTATTCGGAAGGAATTTGGCTGCAGATGTAAATCCTGGAACTGTGTTTTCTGAGAAAGAAGGTATAAGCTTTGAAATGTCTAGTGAGCTCTTTCAGCATGAAAATGCTAAGAGTGGCAGGGAGGATGATGCTGAAAATGGTGCTGATATCCCTTGGCACGAGGAAGAAGTCATTTGGGATGATGAGGAAGCAGAGAACACACCCCTTGAGGTATTTCTGGCATCACAGATGCTGGATGAGTTTCTTCCAGTCTTCATGAGGGAAAAAATTGATTTAGATGCCCTGATGCTATGTTCTGATGAAGATCTACAAAGCATTCAGATGGAGCTTGGGCCAAGAAAGAAAGTCTTGAATGCTGTGAGTAGAAGAAAACAAGTGCTCAAGAACCCTGGGAAGACTGTAGATACTTGCTTGTAAATTAACATACCTGTTGCTGCAACCTGTCCACTGATACATTCTTTTTCTCTTTCCAAACAGCATGCAATTCTTTTCAGAAATATGCTAGAGCGAAAGGCAGAGAGGTTACCAATAGCCTTAAAAAGTACAGTAACAACAAAGATTTTTCTCTCTGGATAGATGGTGGTGGTGCACAGGATATTAATTCAAACATATGCTGCAAAAAAGAAATAATGTGAAGGTAAAAACCCAAAAGCTACAGATTTAAATCCTTTTCTCCCTGAACTGTTTATGTATGGGAATTAGTGAAGGCCAGCCACACTACATTCCTTAATAAAGCCCTTCCCTTCTCTGAAACCACAATGCAAAGAGCATTCCCAAATTTGAGAGCTTTGAGTTTTCTCCATTCAATTCTGCTAGATTGCTACAAACCTCCCTTCCTGGTACTGATATGTTAGAAACAGCATCTGACTCTTGATTTCAGCTATGGCTTATTAACTCTAATAGCCTCTGACTGAATGTAAATAAGACTAATTTACAGCAAGTTTCATGTTCTTGTCAGTAAAGTGTTTTGCTACTGTATTGATATTAATTTTAAAATATATTAAATACCTTTCCAGATGTTTGATGTAAGTTGTAATTCTCTTGTCTCACTGGACTCAGTTGCCAGCAGCCCTCATGCCCTAAATAGCATCAAGACTGTGATACTTTTAACTACAAGAAGCTGAAGTTTTATTTTCAACATTTTTGATCTGTTTTGGTATATCCTCAGCTTCGTTCCTATAGGGTGCATTTTCCATGTGAAGTCCCACAAACCAGGACTCTCATCACCCAGCATTTTCTGTTGGCTGTTGTCAGCCTCAGCCTGAAAACTGCACGTAATACACACACACAGCTCATGAAAAGAGAAACAAAACAAGACTGTGCTTCGATGGGAGCTCCTGTTTTTTAGAGTTTATCTGAAGGCATTCACAGCAGGGTTCCCTTCATGTCTCTCAACCCTGTTCCCTTGGGAAGACAGCACTATCCAATACAAATTAATCACACCTGTTGAGTTTTGTGAATCTAATAAGGTGCTTGTAGCAGCCTTGCTCTGGCTAAGATCTCGTATTTAGAGGCACAATTATTACCAGGCCTTTTATCTTTAAATCTCTTTTTACAGCTTTCCATTAGTCAGTTGTCATTTTTTCCCTTAGGAGTATACTGCATTTGTGGACAACAATCCTAGTTAATAGTCTACTTTTTCATGCTTCCCTCTTTCCACATCATCTTCTTGTTACGTTGATTTGTGTATTTTAATTCCTTGTCTTGGCTGGCCTTCATACAGGATTCTTTTCTCCTTGGATTCCTGTACTTCAGCAGGTTGATATTTTCTTCTATTAAGCAGTCACATCAGAGTCCTGTTCTGCAGTACTTTAAATAACTGCTGTGCTTAGCACAGTAATTAAATCACACAGCATTCCCCCAGATTCTGTGTTATTAACTTGCTGGGTTGTTTTCATTTTAGCTAAGAAACTCCCAACTGTTTAACAAAGCAAGAAGGAAATGATGAATCTTACATATTTGAAGGCATTTGATGAATGGATTTTGAAGGGTCAAATCCTATAATTCTTAATCACATAACTGATGTTGCTGATTCTTCACCTGACCAAATGCTTGTGACCTGCCCACAACACACCATCAAAACATCAGTGAATGGTGTTGCTCACGGAGGACCTGTCCAGTAACAGCTGAAGGTGTTCTGGGATAGGCCCCAAGTATCTCTAAATTGCACTGAAATCTGCCTCTCTGCCTACTCATCTGTAAATCTGTATGACTGCTGTGACCTCTGATGACCAGAAATAATGGCCCATAAATTGACTGATTTCATTGTCACAAGCATCCAGCATGTTTTGGTACGTCTTTAGGTACCTACGGTAACTCTGTGGAGCTAGCAGGTACAGCACAAGATCTAGGGGAAGGAGTTCCTTGCCCTTCTGGAACCACAACTGGAGTTGTTTTTAGTCAACTGAATCAACCCCAATATATATATATATACACACACACATACTCTTTTAAAATACATTTTAAAAGTGCAATAGTGTCAGTCTTTTTCTTGCAGGGTGGTCCTGGAAATTGGCCTCTGGTATATAGCCATGTGGAACAACTGGGGGGAAAAACAATAAAAAGGAACACTCACATTGCAGTTTTTTTACTTATGTGCTTTGCTGTTTTCCGTATTTTCTCCACCAACCCCTTTGTTTCTTTTACAATTTCAAGTATATAAATCAGTGAATCCCAGATCTGACTCCTTAGTGACATCTGTACAGTGCAGGTCAGTTGGAGACACTTTAGGTATCACATGTGCGATCTTATAGCCCAGTCTGAACCCAAATCATAAAACCATGGGACCTCACACGATCACAGCTCTGCCCAGTAAAAGATTCTCTTTTCTTAAGGATTTAATACTCTGCACTGGACAGACATCAAGAGGAAGGAACGTACAGCATGAGATAATGACTGCAAAACTGAGTATCACAGTGGAGCAGAGCAGTCTCAACTAATTTTCCCCTTTACATTCAGTGATCACATTTACTGAGAGAGTAGTTACTGCAGCAACCTGGATACTTTCTTCCGCAACTTAAACCACCCAACCACCCAAAACAAAATGGACAACAAAATGAAAGCCAGGACAGAAGTATCTATTTAATTTTAACATAAATGCAAGTCACACAATTTCTTGAGACTGATTTGTAAGAGAAAGAAACATGAAAATCAAGGCTATTATTTTCCCTCAAAAAGGAAAAAGAATTCTAAAAGACGGCGTCCAAGCAACTTCCATTATAATTGAATCAAATCCTATTTGTGAGTTCAGAGGTACAATGCTGAAACCAGGCCCTCAGAACCTCCAATTGCTAATGAAAGCTGAGAGTACTGTGGGTTTTCAGAACCAGGTTTTTGGACTAGTTCCATCTACTTTTAAAGTGCAGAGTCTGTAGAAGAGTACATGTGAAAATAAACTGTATTTGTCTTCTTCCCAAACACTATGTCTCACTTCAAATTACAAACCTTGTTCTACAGACAAAGAACTGATAAAATATTGTCACAAGTAGTAAGTGCAAGTTTCCATACAGTTCTGGAATAAAGGAACATCGATGGTGGTCATGTTTGTCTCAAGCTAGTCGAGTTCTTGATAGCTGAAGTAACAGGCTAACATTTATATTTCTGTACACTTCAGATATGCTGAAGAGAAGACATGTAAAAATAAAACAGTAATTTTGCTACAATTAAAAAATGCAAAATCTTATAGAGAAATTTCTGTTCTTGTTCCTGCTGATAGAAACAAGATCAATGGAGTTAGATTTCTATCCACACAAACACATCCTTTGGCCCTAATTCACTCACTGGTCTGATACCCTTCTGTGCTAAAACTCTGCAAATTACAAACTGCCACTTACTACTTCCTTCCAACTAGTTTATACCAGGCTTATAATTTGGAGTATTATTTATGTCACATCTGCACGGTACTCATTAACCTCTTCTATACTTGCTTCTGCACCACCAAGGGCTTTAACGCTAACTGCTTTGGAGCCTCCTTCCTGTTGCTACACTGTATTCTACCAGCACCAACACAGAATGGCCACGTCCTCTAATCATTCCACAAAGTGAAGAAACACTTAATAGCCTGCATGAAATATGTCAGTAGAAATTAAATTTCGTAAGGCACGACTCTAATCTGAAACAGGAATTTGTTTCCAGGGCAATAGCTATTTTTCAGCAGCTGCTCAATCTCTTGTAAAGCAGTTGCTTGACAGCACAAACCTAGAACTTTTCCTTATGTAGAACACCACTGGGTTCCTCCACCAAGAAATGGAAAATTCCTGCCATAGCAAATACCCACTGGGATGAAAGAACTACCACCAACTGATCCATGGTACAGCCAAGCTGAAAATACTTGCTTGTATATTTGAAGTTCATCCTACTGAAATCAATTTTCAGTTCCAAACTTCAAGAAGCTTAGAAAAAGAACTTGCAAACACCATAGATTACTAACAAAACCTCCCCACACTGAATACAAACAAAAATTAAATCAAAACACATTTTTAATGCTCAACATTTTAGGTGACTCCTTGCAATACAAAAATGGCAATATCCCACCCAGGAGTCATAGACTGGTTTGGGTTGGAAGGGACCTTAATCATCTAGCTCTAATCCCCTGCCACAGGCAGGGACACCTTCCACTAGACCAGGTTGCTCAAAGCCCCATCCAACCTGGCCTTGAACCCTTCCAGGGAGGGGGCAGCCACAGCTTCTCTGGGCACCCTGGGCCAGTGCCTCACCACCCTCATAGTAAAGAATCTCATCCTTACAGACTGAGAGAGGTATTGAGTATAGTTTCCTCCCAGTTAAAGTGTACATAAGATTAGCTCTGACTTTTTGAATTCTAAATCTTCCTGAGCCAGGTCTTTTACAAAAAGAGACAGATAACTGTGTGGAGGCATCATTATTTATATAAACTCCCACTCAGAAATATGTTCTGAAACATTGGGTCTGATGGCAGGGAAGGGGGATTGTGGAGGGTGAAAGTAAGGATGGTAACTTCCAGATCCCAGTCCAAGTTGGAAGGGAAGGGGTATCCAGGAGTCAGAAGTGGCCTGTGTTCGCAGGAGAGACTAGGTTGCTGCCAGTGTAGCACTGAAACCCACACATGCATTTAAAGTACCACAGGTAAGTAAGATAACAGAGTCCATTCTCCAAACTGATATATTTTACTCCAGTATGAATTACCTCTAAAAACATAAAATCTACCCATGGACTTCTGCTACGTAAATAATTAGGGAGGAAAGGCATTGATTCCAGAATTATACCAAAATATGTAAAAATACCCTTGTTAGTATCACTGCAAACATATACTACTTGCCATTACATTAGATACATTTATTATTAATACTGCCAGTATCTAATACTTGCCATTAGAAAACTGCAGAAATTAGTCTAGTGCAGAAATTTCAGTTTTCATTCTTGAATGGTCTAGAAGGGCCATATTCAGGCAGGATTGGTGCCTTTCTTGTTAACCAAAGATCCAAGGAAACTAAGTGCAAACAATTTTATTGGCCTCCTTGGCATTGTAGACTTCTCTCTTTAGTGACCAGCCGACCACGAGTCATACACAAATTTTGCTGCTACTGTATCTTCAACTGCCATCCCTGGAAAAGAATTAGTCACCTTCAAACAATTCTTAAACTGTACAAAATAATCTGGCTTTGGAAGGGAACAAGAGGACTCAGGAAGTGATCTAACTTGACAGGAACAGAAATCATTCCCCATCCCCAAAACCTTCAGTGTTACATTCAAAGCTTATAGCCACCATGTAACTGGTAGGTGTGCTATATGCAGTTAATGTAATAGCATGAATCTAATTTTCAGTGTTTCTACGACAGCTTGGCCCTTTCAGACATGTCATGCAGCTCAGAGCATGGTAACCCATCACTCCTCCCACTCTTTCCCCCAAAGATCAACTCCAACCCCACAGTACAGTGTCACATTGTCTGTAGGTCAGACAGACTCCAGAGGCACAACAGCAGGGCATTCAGGTTAGGGCTGTATTAATAAATGGTGCGGTCATGTGTTGAGCAACTGAAATGGAAAATGTAATTCTTGCTATTGTTTGATTGCTTTTCTGTCACTTCTAATTACATCAGTCCTGCTAGATAAAACAGGAAATAAAAAGGGAAAATTCAAATCACATTCTCTTTCTTATGGACAGTGCATTGACACAGCAATTTGTGTTTTGAAGATGATCAGCAGCTTTCCCACGCGTGGAGGGCCTAATAATAATAAAGCATTGTTTTCTGTCAGGCTTGTACACGTGAGGGGTTGTTCTTACCCAGTGATTTAAACACTGTCGTTTTCTCAGGCAGGGCTGGTTTTGTACCCTTCACTACCTCTCCCAGCTCAGCAAAAATCTCTGCCTGTGAAACAAACACATAATTATACAAAACCATAATATCCATACACGTCTTAAGAGAAAAAAAATCTTTTTTCTGAGTGACTTCAAAAGACTCCTCCAGTCCTGCTATCCCACAACTGATTCCTTTCCATTGTGAAGCAGATCAGTATTCAGACAAATAACACAGAAACTGGACAGAAATCACAGAGGAGTGGAATGGTTTTCAGAGAAAAACAGATGGCAGACTTTCCTCAGTCAGTAAGTTTTTTTTACAGTGGATAGTTTTTTATTTATTCAACAAAACACATGGGATTCCACACACCTTACCATAACTGGACCTCTTATGTTAAACCTCAAAAGTGGAAATCATATTTGTTCTGCAAAAACATTAAAAGAAAAAATGAAAACTCCATTAAACCTAAAAGAGTCCCTGCTGTAAAATTTCTGCAGATCTGTCTGCTTGGCTTCTGTCATCCATTCTCTAGAGGCCCAATGTGTACCAATCCCACTGAAATCTCATGAGAAGAAAGTTACAGGTTTTAACAAAAAGATTTGAAAAATACTTACCATAACTACCAAACATTGCAGGAAATGTAGGTCTTTCAAAAACAATACATTGCTATTGTACACAAAGACCAATGCTGAAAACATGCTACTGTAATATGGTGTCATATAATGGTTGATAGAGAAGTTATATAGTTTTGGCATAGCCGTATAGAAGTCTCAGCCTGAAATTAATCTACCTTTCAGTCTATGTCTGAAAAGTGTTACCAACTACACCTGATGCTTTAAAAAGTTTCAGGGCTGCACATCATCAGTACCAACTCATTTGAAATGCAAGCCAATTGCCACAAAACTAAAGTCCGTAATTTAAGAATGTCTTACCCCTGATAATATAACATCTCCTGATTCTGTAAGAGCAGCTTCTCTGGAATCCACAAAGAGAACAGAATTCTTCATCAGTTCATCATCCAGTTCTCTCCAATCTGGTCTACTTGCTCCTACAGCTAAGACAACAGAACTGATGAACTTAGGAGGAATGTTTAGAACAAATTCAAACCACATTTTGTCCAAAACACGTGTGAAGTAACAATGGACATTATTGTGGAAATGTAATATACGAACAACTGAAGTTAGCACTGGAGACATGTTGATGGATAAAACAAAAAAATTGGATGTGCCTGAGCAACTGGGAAAAAGACTGGATTTGTCTCAACCTCGCCTCAGCTGCAACGCTGATACATATATGGCCTGTTTCTGTAAGGTGGTAACTCCCTAACTTTCCACTGATGTCAATGGAGGATGACATTGTGTCCAACCCTCCAAATTAAAGCTCATTAAAATGTACAGCATCCTTGACCTCTAGTCATGCAGATGCTGCTGCTGACAAATGTCTTATATTCCCCATAAGCACAGCCAGAACAATTGGAATCAACTGACTGCTGCATTTTAACCTGCTGAAGCATTAAGCTGCAACTCTTCATGAAGCAGAAGCAAGATTCTTTGCTAATCCTGTTTCCACCTCTTTGGCACACTAGTCAAACTGCTCCTTCCAAATGATACTGACAGAGAAGAAAAGGAGAAATAGCACTGCTTAGCCCTTCCTCATCTCATATCTATACAAGAAAAGTAAAGATATGTGTAACTTCATACAGGTAACAAAACAAACAAGCCTTTACCAGCAGCTTTGAAAATGACACCGATAAATAGGTGTGACAATCATGCTTTTCTGCTTACAGAGGCACTGGTAGAATAAACTTTGATCATCTGGTGACAACTCAAAGATGATCATCTTAAGGTTATACAAACCACAACTCTTCTGCAGACAATCAGTAACCTGTTTCTACAACTGTCAAATTAATGGGGTTTTGTCACTTTTTATTTTTTAAAACGGAGTTAATGAACATCTAATACAGCTCCTCTAAAACATTCAGTATTTAATGTGTCAGCAGAATATCCTTGTCAGCAAACTCTGGGTACCTAAGGCATAAGAGTCATCTCTTTGTCCATTATATCTTATACCCTTGTCTTTCACCAGGTCATTACCCAAATGTCCTGATTTTTATAGTCCTTTTATTTGATTCAGATTGTGTTTGTTATGTGTCTACAGAAACAAATAAGACCTGAAGAATCCCTCAATTATCCTGAACAGATGCAAACCAAAGTATTGTGCAACAAAGACTTGCACGTGCAGACAGGTAGTTCAATGTTACTAATTAGAATTTTTAAATCTATAGCCTCCTATTATCTCCTTGTAACCTTATAAACTGTACAAGTTGAGCATATTATGGATTATTACTTATATGGAGAAACTGAAAACAAATCAAGGAGCTTAACTTTTTAAATACAGCAAGACCACTATTGACTTGTTACGGGCTAAAAAAACACCCATAAACCCAGTTATATTGTAGTCAAATGTTTTTTAAAAGTGTCCAACTGTTATGGAATAATAAATTCCATGTTGCCTGAATGCCTCTTCAAACAGCATGAATGCCTCAATGGAGGAAAAAAAAAGAGGCAAAGAAAGGAGAGGGGTCTTTGTGTATGTGTTGCCTCTGGCTGTAGACCTTAATTGATCTTACTTGTACTTCTGGCTACCATGCCTTGACATAACACAGATGACAACATTCAAAGACAAAGGACTAAATTGAGATAGAAAAATTGGTAGGATGCTGCTGGAAAGTGGGACGTTTCTTTAAATTGTCCCTCTTGACAATTTACTTCTGTCTTATGATGCTATTTGGAAAATGCACAAGGTCACCTGAACCAGGCCCACAATTAATAAAATAAAGAAATGTGGTCATATCCAGAGACTCCAAACAATAGTATGGCAACATCACTACAAGGCAGGCAAGAAAAAGCCCCCCCCTAAACCTCATCATAATTAGAGGTCAAATTATGAAGTTCTTAGCTCAGTAACTTATTTTTAACTTGAGTTAAAAAGATGCAATCAATGTGATCAGCCTAAAAATGAACAAATAGAGGAGCTTACAAATTTGGGTGAAGAAAAGATGACAGCTACTAGGGAAACACTACAATGAGCAGGAATCACTTTGGAAATAACATGTTTGTATGGGTTATATAAATGGAGAGCAATGTAAGCATCAGGTGGTAACAGGGTGGCACAGATTATGCACCACTAGGGAAAAAAAGCATATCCCATACTCCAGCGAACATCGAGTTCTGCAATATGCAAAAGTTCTGGCTCCAGAAAACCAGGAAGACAGTGCTGGGAAAAGTGGTCCTCACTACAGTGGAAAAGTCAAAATGGAAAGAACATTCATTCCAAGAAGCATAGAGTACTGCTTTTTCAACAGGTTTTGATGCTAAACAATGTGACAATAAATGTATCCTATAAATGATGATAACATAGCATACCATTGATATGGGCACCTGGTTTTACCCAGTCTCCAAATAAAATTGGTTTTGTTGCCATAGTGACTGTTACAATCACATCAGCCCCAGTAACTGCCTCCTGAGAAGAAGAGCAGACCTGCACTGGACCATTAACTGAATTAGCAAACTCCACCGCTTTCTCTTTGGTGCGATTCCATATCCTGACCTTTAAGGAAAAACAAACATATTAGATTGCAGAATTTCTCCTTACTGAAACAGAACACTTTGTTTCAGTTTTCAGTAGATAGTTGTACATATCCTAAATGTTGGGTGTTTGGGGTTTTTTTTGTTTTTTTTTTTTGGTTGTTTGTTTGTTTTTTTCTCCTTTAATGTTCTCATCATACAAGTGACTAAGTTTCATGTGTGTGCAGCTACATTTTGTGATGATGGAATAACAGCTTCTTGTAGAGCTGCATTTATAAAATCAACTATTTCCAATAAATATATTTAAGGAAAAGTGACAGAAAGCATATCCAAGTATGGCATACATGGTAGGATTTTCTCAAACAGAAAAAAAGACATCTGAAACAACCTTGTTTCCAACTTTTTTTTTTTTTTTTTTTTTTCAACATTTGAGTAAAAATTTCTACAGCTCTTTAGAATATTCTTGGGTTCTGTAGAAGCACAATCAAAATTGATTAATCCCTTAAATTCCATGGTGGGTTGACCTTGGCTGGATGCCAGGTGCTCACCAAACTGCTCTATCATTCCCTTCCTCAGGAGGACAGGAGCAACAAGATGGTAAAACAAGATAAAAGCAGTTTAATAAAGCAAAAGCAAAGGCCATGTGTGGAAGCAAAGGAAAACAAAAGGTTTATTTATTTCCCATCAGCAGGCGATGTCCAGTCACTCTCCAGGAAGTAGAGCAACTGCTGTCTGTACTGAAGCCCCAGAAGACAGTATAACAACAAATGCACCACCACCTCCTCCTTTTTCTTTGACTTTATTGCTGAGCAGACATCATATAGTATGGAATATCCCTTTGGTCAGTTGGAGTCAGCTGTCCTGGTTCTGTCCCCTCCCAAGATCTTGCCCACCCTCAGCCTACTGGTGAGGGGGGGAACATTGGAGAGACAGCCCTGATGCTGTGCGAGCACTGCTGAGCAGCAGCCAGAACACTGGTTTGTTATCAGCACCTTTCTAGCCAGTACAAAGCACAGCACTATGAGGGCTGCTACGGGGATAATTAACTCCATCCCAGCCAAATGCAATACAACTTCATTGGCTATACTTTATTTATAATAAGTGCTCCTGTAACATAATAGAAAAAAATAAACGTATCCTGTTAAGATGTGTCCATTACCTCTTTAAACATGAACAGCTCTGTGAAGATATCGTAATGGCTATATGCTTGAACACCAGCTCCCAAAATGCACAGCACTTCTGCAAAAGCTGGCATTAACAACTAAACAGTATCAAGTAAAAAAAAAAAAAAAAAAAGAATATGTAAGGACAATATACAAACAGACACAACAAATATATATCAAAATGCTATGAAAGAAAACAGTCTCCTTTCAAACAAAAAATAATGTTTTAATGAAAAACCTAGCATATTGATTCATATTAATATAAAACAATATTCAGCTACCACTATATATAGATACATCATTTTTTTAAACGCAAAAGCTAGTGTCAATAGCACCAAATCACATTTTGGCTTAATTCTAGTTTTGGAATTAAGTCTGACTCTTAAAATTCAGACTTAACATGCAATAGCATGAGCCAAAGCAAATTCCAGGGCCTTGGCACATTCTAAATATATTACAACTATGTAACTAAGTGTAAAACCACAGTGTTGATGCTTTGCACCGGCTGAAAACACAGCTCATAATACCTAAAGCTATTGGTACTGAAAGTGGTAGTTGCATTGGTAAACTAGTCCTGGCAGACCCACACTAAACGTTGTTTTTCAATTCACTGAAGCCATAAATCATACTACACACATAATTTGGCATTGTAAGAGCCACAATACGTATGCATCAAGCATTGTAAAAATAGGCATAGTTCTGAGAAACAAATATTAAAATTTAGTTCTATAGTTGCTTTTGGTTTTCTGGTTTAGTTCTTGCTTGTGATTCACCAGTACTTGGCAAAGGGGAAGAGAGGGCTGCTGGAATCCAGCCCTAAGCTAACCTCATGTCTTCTTTAAGCATTTGCTGGGGCCGCTCACTCCTGTATAAAAAGCTTTAGAATTGTCTAGGCTCTCAACACTCACTCTGCTGCAAATGAATTGAAAAAAGATATCATTGATCCCATTCCTCAGTAGCAAAAGCTCTTTTTATTGTTCCTTTCCAGGAGTCTGAAGCACTGATTTCAAAGGTTCCTTGCATAAAAGCATAGGTCTTTGAAAAGCAAATACCATAAAGAGGACAACTTGACAACTATGAGCTAAACTCAAACACTCCTGAAAATTTACCAACACAACAGACAACAGTGGAGGATCTGATCTTGAAGTCCCTTCAGCAGCCAAGCTCCTTTTACATAGTCAGGACTCTGCTGGCCCCAAAACAGCCCAAACTGCCCAAGTATAGAATGGCTGAGATGAATGAGATCCTACAACTTCATGTCCAAGGAATCCATTGTAAACGGCTCTGCCCCTTGGTTAAGGGGAAGCTCTTGGGGACATATTCTTCACTCCAATTTTATGTCAGTTCAGCTCTATTGCCATGGATAGAATCACACTGGCATGAGGACTGCCGCTAACAAAGTGGTGAGATCAGCCTTCATTCTGATTCAGAGCTGATGGGTGAAAAACAGAAGCATTTTTCAGCTCTGGTCCTCTTATTGCCTCATCCTTTGAGGTGAGGACTAAAACTCTGCTTGCAATGGACAGTGACTTGCTCTTCCCAATGCTGGCAGCCCAGACAAATATAGTTTTAAAAAAGAATTCAAAACCCACAATTTCCAGCTGAAACTGAAAGGATGTAAAGCAGCATACAGAAAGATACACCTCACCTGTCTAAAGACACTGAGGTTTATGGCTGTAGTCAGTGATAGTCATCCGAACATCTTCTAGTGACAGAGAAACTGTCAGACAGCCACCTCTACACAAATCATCCATCTATCCTGGGCATCATCTATCTTAAGACGACCCACATCACCCCCTGGAAATGTACCTTCTTCCTCTTTATGCAGGTCCAGTACAAGTCACCTGGACTGGCCCAACAGCAGAAAACATACATATAAACAAAACTGAAGTTATCACCACCCAACGGCAGAAAGGAGCATGTTAAGACAAGCACAAAAAGGAAAGCAACAGAGGAAGACACCTCAGAAATTCCCAGAAGACCGTGCAGAACAAGCCAGAAAAACAGCCCAGATTGCTTCTCCAGTCATACACAGTGTTAAAGCCAGACACGACTCACTTAAAATTGGAGTTTTCTGTTTTTTCTCTGAAGGTATATACTTTATTATAAGTCTAATTTAAAGCTATATTTGATGAAAATTCACATACACTGAAAGGCATTTACATCATACCTTCTAGCTGTTTTATATATAACACCACTAAATCTGTTCCAATTTAGGAATCCAAAGACATACCTTGGTAGCAATTGCAGAAACTGCAGCTGTTCGTTTTGCTGTAATGACACTGCCATCTAGGACCTTAAAAAAAAAAAGGTTCTAACAGACTGAAATGAACACTGAAAATATGAGTAAATACCACACATTTTCATCAGATTTGTGAATTATGTGATATTACAGGGCAGAGATAAAAACATCAAATTTGGTAATTACTATTATAGCATCCACAAGTCACATAAAATCACACATTCAAACTGAACAGATTGTCTGTCTATTCGAGTTCTTCTGTGTCATTCCACCAGCACAAATGGAGTGAAAACTGGTCAGAGCTAAACCACCTCTAACTCACACAGCTCTTCATGCACTGCGCCTCCCTGGCTCTCCAACACAGGGAACAGATCAATACAACGACAATATTCTGCACTCCAATAAGATCAGGGACTAGTGCAAGCTGACAATTGCTCACAAGTCCTACACTGCCTTCGTCAGTACCAGGAACCATGGAATTCTTTCATGTGTATCACACACAGTAGGGCACTCCTGCCTCAATGTATATTAGCTAATGTGTACAAATGAATTAAGGGGCTTAAAAAAGCTGATGTGTTTTCTGATACAGTTTAAGAATAAAGGACCAATATAGTTTTCTTGGCCAGTTTTGGCCCTTTAATAATTGTTACTACTAAAGTATAATGAAAATGGTCAATGCTCTAAAAATTCTTAAATTTTTTTTTAAACAAAAAAATCAGACTTGGAATACTCTTCCCTAACAATTGTAAATCTCTATGTTTAACTTAAGATGGTTCAAGATCAATTCTTTATTCAGCCAAGCTTTCTTTCCCTTTCAAATGCAAGGTGAACTTTGCCGCATCATTTCTCTCTTCAGTCACCTTGTGAGCCATCAGATTCCCTTCACATCACAAGTAGCAGTCAAGAGCAGATGGAGTAGTTTAACACATAGAAGAGACATAATGCTTTAGGCCAAATCCTCATCTGGCATAAACACATTTTCATTAACAATGTAGATAAACTCAGAACAATTTACACCAGCTCCAGCTTCTAAGAATCAGGAGGTAGAACTGACAGATGACGAACAGGGGAGAATGCAGAAGCATGCATGAAACTCACTGCTTTTAAAGAACCATTTCTGGGGTCAAATAAGAGGACAGTTGCTTGGTGAGAAGGGGCAGAGGAATCCTTCTTGTGTTCATAAAAAGTCACCAACTTGGTTGTCAGAGCATCATCTGCAGCACTGTAAGCAGGCATAACTCCTAGGAACCTTGTAAGAGAATTACTTACATTACTTAAGTACCCCTAGCACGGGAGCCCGCAGCCACCGGGGTGATTAACCTCAAACGACTACCAACCAGCTAATCAGCAACTCGGTACCGGTAACCTCCCCTCCCACCCCAACCCTTCGCCAACGCAGGCCGGCCCCCGCTACCACCGCCGCTACCCCCGTTCCTGGCTCCGAGGGGCCGCGCCTCCTCCCACCGTCCCGCCACGGCGACCCCGCCGCCCGCCCGCCTCACCCGCCGTGCGGCCGCACCGGCACCACGGTGCGCACAGGCTGCACGACGCCTCCCGCCGGCCCCGCCGAGAAGTTGGCCAGGGCGGCCTCCAGCGCCGGCAGCAGCAGGCTGGCCCGCTGCAGGTGCTTCTCCACCTCCTCGGCGCCGATGAAGACGGGAGGAGCCGAGCCCATAGCGAGGACCGACCAGAGTAAACAGAGCCGTGAGACCACAGTCTGTGCCCGCCCACACACCGCCGCTAAGTACTCGGAGGGGCACCGGCGCCCCCGCCCCCCGGCCCGGCCTCTCGGCGGCCCGGCCCCGCCCCGCCCCGCCCCGCCTCGCCTCGCCGGGGTCCCGGCTCCCCTCAGGGGCACGGCGAACACACGCCACTCCCCTCTCGGCCGAGGGCAGGGCAGGGCAGGGCAGGGCAGGGCAGGGCAGGGCAGGGCAGGGCAGGGCAGGGCAGGGCAGGGCAGGGCCTGGCCGAGCTGCGCCCCCTCGGACACCGCCGACACGAACCGGCTCCGCTGCGATTTATTTACGGTCCGTTACGGCCCGCAGGCGCCGCCGGGACCCCCGCGGTGAGCGGGGGGCGGTGGAGCTCTGCGCATGCGCACCGCCGCCCCGGATGTCCCGCGAGGCGGCGCTCTATCCTCTAGACCTGATTTGAAGCGCGAGCAGTAGAGTTGGTCCATTTGCTCGCTAGAAAGTCAAAGCGGCGCAGGACGTGCCGGGAAGGCAGAGTCCTCCCCCGGGACAGCTATCTTCTCGCCGGGGCCCAACGGAGAGGCGCGGAAGGATGAAGGGTTTCCTCGTGGTTTCGCGTTCCCTGTCGGTGAGGGTGATCTGGAGGCTCTTTGCGCGTTGGGGGATAGGTGCAGAGGGCGGTGACAGTGGCCGTGCGGACCCCGGTGGCTGCCGGCGGGCCTGACCCCAGCCGGCGCCGAGGGGGCGGGCAGCGTTCGTGCCTGCGGGGCCGTCAGCGAGGCTCGAGGGTGGGGGATGAGGTCGGTGTGGAGCTGGCCGGCGGAGCGGCGGGGCTGAAGGTCAGACAGGCCGCGGGGCGGCCTGCGCGCAGCTGCGGCCCTGAGAGCGGCTGCCGGGGCGCGGGGCTGCGCAGGCTTCACCCCGCGCCGCTCTCGGAGAGGCAGGACCTCCCGTACGGCCGGAGAGGGGCAGGAGCGGTCTCTGAGGGGATCCCTTCTCGCTGGGGGAACTTCGGCTGCTTCTGGCAAGATGGTGTCCTTGGCAAGCGGAGCTCGGCTTGTCCCGGAGGCACGGAGGGGGCAGAGGGCTGCGGCTGTCGCTGCTGCTGCAGAAGGTCTCGTCAAGCCGGCGGACAACTGTAACACAACTTGTGCTAGGTCTCTGCTGGAAATGCTCTCTCGAGTAGGGTGGCAAATGGCTTCTGAGTCACAGTATGTTTGCGAGTCAATTTTAGACGTGCACTAGTAATTCATAAATAAGTAGGCATAGAAGTTAAAAATAGGTGTCTTAACAAATTTGTGGTGGGGGAAGAAAGGAGTTTTTCCTACTCTCATTCACTGAATAGAGTCTGTGGCAAAGCAAGGGGTCATTGGTATCCCTACAGTTGAGTGCAGCAGTGGTTTTGTCACTGAGTTTTTTTCTTTGAGGTGTATGGGAATCAACTTATTTGGGTTTTTTTAATGTGAAAAAGAGAATAATAATTTATTTTACAAGTATAAGAAACTCAGAAAACGTCAAAGAGAATAACATTTCAGATTCTAGATCAATAGTCTTGTCTTCTCTGTTGGCAGCTACTGAAGGGAAGGGTGATGTAATGTTCAGCTCTTCACTTGGAAGGCCTGCTTTTGGTTATTACTCTGCAGTTTGGGGACTTGCATACGTGTTGTCTTCGTACACAGCAGTCAGTCTAGATAGATTGGTGTTCTGAGAGGCAACTCTTTAGGAGTTAAACTGCCTACATCTAATAAATTAGAATGTTATCTCCAAAGTTTTACTTGCATATATTGATTGTTGTAGCTGTTTGTTCAGTTAACTGCTTATACGGTGGTCCTGCAGACTATATAATATCAGTAGACATGTCCACTGCACAATGGCAAAGAGACAGGGGGAAAAAAAGCTTTCTTACAGTGCTGTTTCTTGAACTTCCAGAGACCTTGTGTGAGCCATTGCATGGGTTCCAACAGGGATGTAAAAAATGTCCAGGGAAATTACAAGGGAATTGCTGTTTTTACTCTGGGGCTTGAAGTCATTCATTATATTTCTACTTTAAAAGTAGTTGCTTTTTCAGTATGTAATGGAACATGCGATGAACTAATTCAGGAAATCCATTCTCTTATGCTTTTTTTTCTCTAGAAGAGACTTTACTCACTTAAAGTAGCTCCTAAAGTTGCAGCCTCAGCAACTGCAGAACGAGTGAAATTATCTCCAGAGTCTGAGGATCTTGAGGTTGGTATGAATACTGGTATTTTCTTCTCTTTCTTTTTTGTTTTTTAAAACTCCGTCAAAGCAGAACTGTGACAGTACTTCCAGTGGATGACTAAACCAAATTTTTACTTTTTAATACAGATCACAAAATTACCAAATGGCTTAGTTATTGCATCTCTGGAAAACTTTTCTCCAGCTTCAAGAATTGGTGTGTTTATTAAAGCAGGCAGCAGATATGAAACCACTAGTAACTTGGGAACTGCTCACTTGCTTCGTCTTGCATCTAATTTGGTAGGTGTTTATTCTCTTTGTTATTATGTTGGCAGTAGATGAACTGGTGGAAGGTTTATGATTGCAAAAAGAAACAATATGGCAAAATTTATTGTAAAAGATCTTCAAAAATAGAAAACAATATACCTTGATTCTTGGTTACCTAGTTCAAGTGGAGGAGAAATGTCATTAGTTCCTGGAAGACAGGCAGTGATATTTACTTAGAATTATGTTCTCCAGTGGTGTCTTAGTCTATATATGAAAAATGTATTTATATCAAGCTATGTGCATAACTCATTTCATTTGAGCTGCAGTTAAAGTTAATTTGGGTGGCTGATACAAACTCAATTTTGTGCGTGGAATATTTCTGAATAGGTTTTCCTACTACTGCCATCAAGATATTTTAGGCTCCTTGTTTTCCCTTCCTGTTTTATGTCTAGCTTCAGTTATACAGGATGCTGTGGGGGCAGATACATATCAGCAGGTTTAAAAAAGAATCAGTCAAATTTATTGATAGCAGGTCCTTAAACACTTGCTAAAAGGAATAACTCCTGTAGGTACTGCAGAAATACCACTGAATGGGTTGTGGGATGTAACCTTTCAACAGCCTTTTCTGTCGCCGCTGTTGGGTGCAGAACGCTGGGCTAGATGTCCCATGGGCTTGACCCACGGTGCCCATTCCCCTTGTGCCTGCTGATCTCCATTGCTGTCTGGCTTTAGCTGCCTCACACACCAGGCAGGCTGTGACGATTAGAGCTACACAGCACCACTGCCTTGCCTCTGACTGCTGTCCTATGGGTTCAATCCACATCGGTTTTAGGCAATAAAAAACCCAAACATCCCAGCTGCTTATTACCTACTTCCCAAGTGCTGCCTGAAGTTACTTTCCTCAGAAAGCTGTCAGCATAATAGTATGTGTAGGCATTCTTTGCCCTGGTTTTGTCAAGCTTATCTAATTCAAAGAATCCTATTAAATGTTTAAGCAAACCTGGATCATTCTAGAATGGGGCTGGGGAGCAAATATGTGAGCAATTACAGTGGAAAATCAGAGGATTGATAGAAATTATTTGGAGTAAGGCTGCAATAAGCTGGCTCAACTTTTCAAAATGGTTTCTGTATAAATGAATAAACAGATATTGTTTCATTGTTGCTTGAGCACTGAAAAACCTCAGACAAATCCATTCTTAAACTAGCTAGAATTTTAAGTTGCTATTTTTATTTATTTATTTATTTATTTATTAATAGACTACTAAAGGAGCGTCTTCTTTCCGGATTACTCGTGGCATTGAAGCTGTTGGGGGCAGCCTAAGGTTTGTAACTGCATGTAAAGATAATCTGTCTTGGTAAGATGCAAACAAGCTGTATGACTAAACTTAATAAGCATAACATTATGTGGGTGGATAATCTCGGTGTGGTAATGGTACTTGAATGGTGAATGTTGACAAGGAACATCTTTTGTACTTCTTGTTCTATTAAGGTTCCAGATTGCACCCATGATTTGTATTTTAAAACCACCTTTCAGTTAACAAAATATTATTGTTGTGTACCCAGAAGAAATGTAATTTGTCCAGGAATAATGTTCTGTCTGCCTTTTCAGGCTTTGAGGTTAAACTTGCTGAAGTCAGTAGATTGGTTTGGGTTTTTTTCTCCATCTTTTGTGAATAGATACCACTCATCATACTGCAGTTTTGGGAACAATTCAGACAGTAGTTGGCTTTTGTCATTTGAGAGTTTAAAGCCTAGAAAACAAGCCTAAGAGAAATAAAAGAGGGATTTTGCTGTGCCTGCTTTCTTGCAATGTATCTTGAAATCATCCAGTAAGATTGTTTTATATAGAATTTGGTTAAAAGCAGTGTTTTATATAACTAGAGACTCTACCCTTTACTGTTCCTGTTAATCACAAATGTGGTGAAGTGGAAAAGACCAACTGTGTTTTCTGCCCAAAGAGAATAATTTCTAAATTACCCATTTTTATTCACGTTTTGCTGTTCAGCCTTTATTTGTTGTTTTACTGTAAATTATTGGGATATCTTAAATTCTGATGGTCACAAGAGACTTAAGTTATGAGTTTTAGTTAAGTCTGCTTCTGCTGTGTGTGTATTATCACTCCTTTAAACAGTCATCTCAAGCAGATTTAAGGTTACCTAGATATTCTAGTCCATATCTGGCTGACAAATTCAATCAATAAGGAATACATGTGAAAATCCACTTCTATGTGTTCTGCTGAAATGGATTTTGTATTTTTTCTCATTTAGCGTGTACTCCACAAGAGAGAAAATGACTTACTCTGTTGAATGCCTCCGTGACTATGTGTAGGTATCTAGATATGCTGTAAATGGAATTACTGCATTCTTTTCAAACTGCTCTGTAGTAGAGACCTATCATTTTACAGGAGTAATATCTATTTTGATAGTTGTGTAATAAATCAATAAATTACTGTATTGATACTTGGCTTCTGTATCATGTTACTGAGTGTATGAATGTTATAGAACTAAAGTTGAGTTCTCATACTTTGTACAGCAGTGCTACCTACTACTTTGGCTCGAGTGATGCATTTTGTTGTTAATGTGTTGCTTACAGATTAGTCTGAACTGCTTTCAACTTCAAAAGAAACATGTGCTTTTTTTATTGTGTTTAATGCCTTTAACTTTTTTTATCTAGTGACACAGTAATGGAGTACCTTCTTAATGTCACCACAGCACCAGAGTTTAGACCATGGGAAGTAAGCGATCTTCAGCCACAGTTAAAAGTTGACAAAGCAATCGCATTTC